TGTTTTTGTTTGTTCATGTATGTTTTGTGTTTGTTGTAAAAATAAAAAAATATTTAAAAAATATATATATATATAAATGCCACATGTCTTTAGTTGAATTTAGAATTAATTTTCATGTATTTGTAAAAAACAAGTTTTCCCCTCCTTCCCCCCGTTGAAAGGAAATCTTATCAAGTTTGTTTCCGAGCCGGGAATAAAATGCACAGGCAGTTGCTTGAAGCAGAGATAAAAGTTTATTTCTGAGAGCACAGTACACAGAATCGGGTCTCGGAGGTGGCCACAAGCAAGGATTCCCAAAGAGAATTTATATAGAGAAACCTGAGAGCCCGCCCTCTAGTTCTCAGAAAGTGTAATTGGCCAAAGTTCCAAGAGAGGGCACTCTGAGGTCAGCCACCCCACTGAGCTAGTTTCTTGTATCAGACATCTTGTGTTTGCCTGTCTAGCACTACCTGATTGGTAGGCAGATCTCTTCTGGGAAGAGATCTTTCCTTGTTTGATTAAGGTTTCAGTTAAATTCAAAGAATGCTAACTCTTCCAGCAAGATCTTTTGTTATTTGATTAGGGGGATCTTTTTGGCTAGGTTCAAGCAATCTTGACTCTTCCTGCCACATTTTAGTCTTTTGGATGAGCCCATTCTAATTGTAAATTTTACGTTGACTGCCATGGAAAGATTGAATGGCAGGGTGAGACAAGCAGGAGGGTTTGGCTTCCTCCTTTCATGGAGGAAGAGTTTGATTTCCTTCTCACACCTCATATTTTTATGTGCAGGTTACTTGGGATGAATCTAGTGAACGAACAAGAAAGTGGATTTTCCAGCAAAAAATGGGACAAGCTGAAACAAAAGAATTGTCTTACTCTTCCCTAATTGACATTGGAGAAGGAGGAGGTGATGCTGCTAGAGAATCTCAAGAGCTTGAGATGGTTAGGCAGAAGCTGAGAAATGTGTTTTCCAAGTTGAAACAGTTGGCCACTAAAGCTGCCTGCAGGTTAGATTATTTTATTTTTAATAGCAATACAATGATGAAAGACCTATATGTAACGTATGCTGCAGTTTAGGAGTACAGTGGTACCTCTAGTTACGAACGCCTCTCCTTACAAATTTTGCGAGAGACGACCAGCTCCGGCCCCAAAAATTTACCGCATGTTGCGAGCCACCCCGAGTTACGAACTGGATCCGCGGCCATTTTTCCGCCTGTTCCACGTGGTCCGCGGCCATTTTTCCGCCTGTTCCACGTGGTCCGCGGCCGTTTTTCCGCCCCTGCCGCGTGGGCCGCGGGCGCCGGGGCGGATTAACGGTGGTTACAT